CCTCCTCCCCTCCTCTCCCTCCTCCTCTCCCTCTCCTTCTCCTCCTCCTCCTCCTTCTCTCCCTCTCCCTTCCTTCTCCTCTCCTTCCCCTCCTCCCTTTTCCCTTCCTCCTCTCTCCCCTCCTCTCCCTCCTCCTTCTGTCCCTCTCCCTCCTCTCCTTCCCCTCCTCCCCTCCTCCTCTCCCTCCTCTCCCTCTCCTTCCTCCTCCTCCTCCTTCTCCCCTTTCCCTTCCTTCTCTCCTTCCCCTCCTTCTCCCCCTTCCCTTCTCCTCTCCCCCACTCCTCTCCCTCCTCCTCCTCCTCTCCTCCTGTTCCTCCTCCTCCTCCCCCTCCAGGTTCCTAGAGCTGGAGTGGCCCCGTTGGAGCAAGACCGCCCGGACAGCCGCCTTCGTCTACCCGTTCTTCTTCGACAACATCCCGCTCTTCTTCAGGGTAGGCGGCGCAGGAAGGGGAGAAGGGACGCCGGGCGGGGCGGTGGGGCCCATCAGCCAAGCTGGGGGGCATGCTGGGAATTTTGAGAATGGCTTGGTTGGGGGGGGGGGGTCTTTGCAAAAGGGTTTCCCCCCTGCAAAGAGAGAGGACCCTTTTCACAGGAAGGCAGACCTTGGAAGACTTGGAGGAGAAGAGAGCAATCAGAATAGAGCTGGAAGGGACCTCGGAGGTCTTCTAGTCCAGCCCCCTGCTCAAGCAGGAGAACCGATATCATCTCAGACAAGGGGACCGTCTAGCCTCTTCTTAAAAGCCTCCAGCGATGGAGCGCCCACAACTTCTGGTGGCAAGCTGTTCCACTGGTTAATTGTTCTCACTGTCAGGAATTTTCTCCTTATTTCCAATTCTCCTTGATTAGTTTCCATCCATTGTTCCTTTTCCTGCCCCCTGGTGCTTTGGTGAATAATGTGACCCCCCTCTTCTTCTTTGTGGCAGCCCCTCAAATACTGGAAGACTGTTACCATGTCGCTCCTGATCCTTCTTTTCATTAAACTAGACATATCCAATTCCTGCAACCGTTCTTTGTATGTTTTAGTTTGCAATAGTGGCGAATAACTGTAATTCAGGTGTAGGATGGGGGTATAAACAGGAACACAGACACTGACATCCCCTAAACCAGGGCTTTTCAACCAGTGGTACAGGTACCACCTGTGCTACATTGGCACCTGGCAGGTGGTACGCGACCATCCTAGAAAAGTGGTAGTGGGGGAGGGGAATGAGCTGAACCGGTGGCAGCACCGCACAAGCCTGAGCGAGAGACGGCTGGAGCTGCAGGGCTGGCAGGGCTCAGCGGAAGCGCCAGGATCAGTGCCGCTTTCCAGCTGATCGACGCTTCTTCGGGGCTGTCAGGGCTCAGTGGAAGTGCCAGGATCAGTGCCAGGCTCCAGCTGGAGCTCAGCACTGATCCTGGTGCTTCTGCTGAGCCCAGAAGAAGCGCCGATCAGCTGGAATGTTGCAACCTCTCCAGGGTCTTGTGATTTACATTCAGGTGCTTGGCAACTGATTCATATTTATGACGGTCACTGTGTCCCAGGGTCATGTGAAGTGACCAAAACCTGCTGCAACCACCCAGCAGACGGGGGGAATAAAAACCAACCCCCCCCCACCCCCGCTGCCAATCCTCAACAGAAATGCTCACAACAATGGAAACCTCGGACAGGAGGAAGAGCGCGGCCGGGTGGGCAGGCAGGTGTCTTGCTCGGCTGTGGCTTTGGGGGGGGCACTTTTTTCAGTACCATTGTAACTTCAAAGAGTCACAAAGCAAACTGTTGTAAATCGAGGATTACCTGTACTTTATCACTTTTTTCCTTTTTTTTTTTTTTTGGTCATCAAGTTTTTGACACCGTGCTAGACGACGGGTGGTACTCGGATGTTGCCATAACCTAAAAGTGGTACAATGGGTGAAAAGGTTGAAAAGCCCTGCCCTAAACTCAGTGGTGGGATTCCGCCGGTTTGCACCACTTTGGCAGAATTGGTAGCTAATTTTTTTGTTGCCCAGGTCCAGAACGGACTTCTGGAAGTGGCATCCACACAGAGAACTGGTTGTTCACATATTTGAATCCCACCACTGCCTAAATTGCTCTTTAGAAGGCCAGATCCAAATACTTTGGCCACCTCATGAGAAGGAAGGACTCCCTGGAGAAGAGCCTGATGCTGGGAAAGATGGAGGGCAAGAGAAGAAGGGGACGACAGAGGATGAGGTGGCTGGATGGAGTCACTGAAGCAGCAGGCGTGAACTTAAATGGACTCCAGAAGATGGTAGAGGACCGGAAGGCCTGGAGGAACATTGTCCATGGGGTCGCGATGGGTCGGACACGACTTCGCAATTAACAACAACTGCCTAAACTGTACTGAAGATGTTGCCTAGCCTGATAATGAAACGTTCATAAACCAAACTACAAACTCAGAGAACGAATCTCCACCTTCATAGGTTTTAGTCTCCAGATCTTTAATCATCTGAGTTGTTCTTCTTTGCACTTTTTCCAGTTTCAGCATCTTTTTTGTAATGTGGTGACCGAAACTGGATGCAGGATCCCAGGTGTAGCCTTACTAAGGCTTTATACAGCGGTACTAGTACTTCACGTGATTTTGATTCTATGCCTCTGTTTATACAACCGAGGATTGTATTTGCTTTTTTGGCTGCTGCCGCACACGGCTGGCTCCTGTGTCTAGATAAGCAGACGCTTACCCCTCAGCTGCATAACAGGTGCAGAAAAGGTTTCAGAAGGGACTCCTTACGTTGGGAGGCTACAAAGAGAGATTTGTACAGGTAGTCCTCAACTTATGACCACAGCCCAACATTTCTGTTGCTAAGTGAGATGGTTGTTAAGTGAGTTTTGCCCCCATTTTACGACCTTCCTTGCCACAGTTGTTCAGTGAATCGCTGCAGTTGTTGAATTGGTAATACGGTTGTTAAACGAATCCGGCTTCCCTGTTGACTTTGCTTGTCAGCAGGTTGCAAAAGGGGATCACGTGACCCTGGGACACTGCGACCGTCATAAGTATGAGTCAGTTGCCAAGCGTCCGAATTTTGATCACGTGATCTCAGGGATGCTACAATGGTCGTAAGTGTGAAAAGCGGTCCCAAGTCCCTTTTTTCAGTGCCCTTGTAACTTTGAATGGTCACTAAACGAACTGTCATAAGTCAGGGACTGCCGGTGCTTTCTGACTTGCAAGATTTCCTTAATGTAGCCGTAAAATAAAGTATAATGAACTCATCTGGCCGTGTTTCTCGTCTGGTCTACGTTGAAAGGCGGATCAAGTCAAGAAGGAAGATCACCTCTCTGTGCGGAGGCCAGGCCACAGAATCTAAACCCCAATGATTCCTTTTACATTTTGACTCAGTTTCCCCAAAAGCATCTTCCTTTTCTCTCACTAAGATCAGACGCCTCAAATCCCCACTCTTGTGTTAATAAACTGCTGATTGAATTAACCAGGTTAATAAGGGGCTTGGCGCCCCTTGAATCAAAGTGGTCTGTATTTTTCAACTTCCTTCAAGGGCTGAAATCTCCTGGTGGTCTCCCATCCTGATCCTAGTTAGTTGGTTTTTTTCTTTTTTAAAATCAGCCAAAATCAGGTTAGCCGGGCTCTTAAAGGAAAGACAGGCTATAAACACAGTAATAACAAAACTTACTTATCGTCGTCGTAAGAAAACTCATTTTGGAAGATATTTGAAGGCTGTTGAACTCATATCATTTGGTTTTGTCCAGGCAGAGCTCCATTTTGGTTTCAAATTACAAGCAAAAGTTGATGTAGAGAATAGGGGAATAAAGATTTCTTTCTTTAAATAATATTTAAAGATGAGTAGATGTTAAGTTCTATTCCAGAAGTATGTAATTTGTCATTCTGTACAGGTAGTACTTGACTTACGACCACAATCGAGCCCAAAATTTATGTTACTAAGTGAGACCTTTGTTAAGTGCGTTTTGCCACATTTTACGACCTTTCTCGCCACAGTTGTTAAGTGAATCACTGCACTTGTTAAGTTAGTAACCCGGTTGTTAAGTGAATCCGGCTTTCCCCATTGACTTTGCTGGTCAGAAGATCGTAAAAGGGGATCACGTGACCCCCGGGACACTGCAAACCATCATAAATCTGAGTCAGTTGCCAAGTATTTGAATTTTGATCACGTGACCGTGGAGATGCATGCTACAGTTGTAAATGTGAAAAACGGTCATAAGTCCCTTTTTTCAGTGCTGTTATAACTTTGAACGGTCACTAAATGAACTGTTGTAAGTCAAGGACAATCCTGTAAAGAGTGTTGGCAATTGAGAATAAATTTACATCAATTGAAAGCGAATTAAAACGATTCCCATCTTGTCAGAAGCCTCTCTCTGCTGGTCCTATCCTCCATCTGGGCAGCTGGGGAAGATGGGCCCTGCTGTACCCTGATTCCTCTTTCAAGGGCCAACTCATGGTGGTCTCCTTCCCTTTCAGCTTTTGTTCTGTTTTGGCGATGATTGTACGTGGAACGACTCCGTGGCCAGTTATTTCTACCACCTTTTCTTTGCCTTGCTGACCGGCTTCCTCTTCGCGTCGCATCTGCCGGAACGGCTGGCTCCCGGTCGCTTTGATTTCATCGGTAAGCGAGGAAGAGTTTTATAAACTAGCACAGGGGTAGGCAACCTTGGCTCTTTTATGACTCGTGGACTTCAACTCCCAGAATTCCTGAGCCAGCATGGGAGAACTATGGCCCCTTCATGACTTGTGGACTTCAACTCCCAGAATTCCTCAGCCAGCATGGCTCAGCTTGGAAACCTCTCCCTTTCCCCTCAGCATGGCTGGCTCAGGAATTCTGGGAGTTGAAGTCCACGAGTCATAAAAGAGCCCAGGTTGCCTACCTCTGAACTAGCATATCCAAAGCCAGGAAGTGGATTGGTTGGTTGGTTGGTTGGTTTGTATCCCGCCGTGATTATTTTTACAGATACAGGCAGTCCTTGTCTTACGACCACAATCGAGCCCAAAATTTCTGTTGTTGAGACAGTTGTTGAGTTTTGCTTCATTTTACGACCTTCCTTGCCACAGTGGCTAAGTGAATCAGTGCAGCTGTTAAAGTTAGTCACACGGTTGTTAAGCGAATCCGGCTTCCCCCATTGACTTTGCTTGTCAGAAGGTCGCAAAGGGGATCACCTGACCCCTGGGGACACTGAAAGTGTCATAAATATGAGTCAGTTGCCAAGCGGCCGAATTTTGATCCCGTGACCCTGGGGATGCTACAACGGTCATAAGTGTGAAAAACAGTCCTAAGTCCCTTTTTTCAGTGCCGTTGTAACTTTGAACGGTCATTAAATGAGCTGTTGTAACTTGAGGACTACCTGTATCTCAAATGTCCAACACATCTCCTATTTTCCCCACAACAACCCTGTGAGGTGGGTTGGGCTGACAAAGAGTAACTGGCCCAAAGTCCTCCAGGTGGCTTTTGTGCCTAAGGCGAGACCGTCTCCAAGCGGAATTCTGGGAGTTGAAGTCCACAAGTCTTAAACTTCCAAGGTTGGATACCTCTATTATAGGGCCTCCTGCTTGAGCAGTGGGCTGGACTAGAAGACCTCTGAGGTCCCTTCCAACCCTGTTGTTTTTTTAAAATACTGGTCATTCCTCTCCATGTCCTCTTCTTCTCCCCCCCTCACCCATCTGTAGGTCACAGCCACCAGCTGTTCCACATCTGTGCCGTAGTGGGCACCCATTTCCAGCTGGAAGCCATCCTGAGCGACATGAACACACGACGGACATGGCTGAGCACTCACACCCCGCCGGCCATGTTCACCCGTACCTTTGCCGTTCTCGGTGCCACCTTGATGGGCAATCTCTTCCTCTTTGCCGCCTTCGCCGTGGCCCTCTTCCGCTTGCCGGCGTCCATCCGGATCCTGCAGGGCAGCCTGGCCGAGTCGGAGGGATCCAAGGAGAAGTAGCCACCGGGGGCACCGCGGTGGCTCTTCTGGACCGGCTGGCACTGCCAGCTCACCAGTGATGCCTTCCTACCTCAAGGTTGCCTGGCCGTGGAGGAAAATGTAACCTGGTGGAGAATGGGGGTCCCCCTTGGTGCCATTACCCCAATCCTGAGCACCTGGACCGTGTGGTTAGCTTGGTGTCTCTCCATGCCAGTGTCCTGGGTGCCTGGGTACAGGCAGTTCTCCCTGTACAGGGAGCCTCGACTTACAACGATTCATTTAGTGACCCTTCGTGTTACAACGGCACCGAAAAAAATGGCTTAGGATCGTTTTTCACACGGGTGACCGTTCCAGCATCCCCAGGGTCACGTGATCAGAATTCGGATGTCTCGTATTTATGACGGTTGCCGTGTTCTGGGGTCACGGGAGCCCCTTTTGCCACCTTCTGACAAGCAGGTCAACGGGGAAGCCAGATTCGCTTAACAAGCGTGCGACTAACTTAACAACTGCACTGATTCACTGAACAACAAGTGGCAAGAAAGGTCGTAAAATGGGGCAAAACACACTTTTAACAAACATCCCATTTAGCGGCATAAATGTTGGGCTCAATTGTCGTGAATTGAGGACTCCAGGTAGTCCCCGGCTTACAACAGTTCATTTAGTGACCGTTCAAAGTTACAACGGCACTGAAAAAACGTGACTTGTGACCGTTTCTCAGAGTTACGACCTTTGCAGCATCCCCAGGATCATTTGACGTCATCTCGGAAGGCAACCAAAGCGATGGTAGCAAACAGGAGCTGGAAGCTGCCACACCAGATGGACCAAGGATGTAGCAAAGACGGCTGGATGGTTGAGGCAGGTTGTAGAGAAATCTGGAAGAAAAAGGCATCTTCCAGTTGGCCTTCCCTTTGATCTTTGGATCAAGAGAGCCACAGATGTCTAGAGGAGATGATGGCGTGGAGGTTTGAAGGTATTCAGGCAGGCAAGTCTAGAGAAAAGAAGGACTATGGGTGGCCTAATAGCAGCTTTCCAGTATTTGAGGGGCTGCCACAAAGAAGAGGAGGGTCAATTTATTTTCCAAAGCACCTGAAGGCAGGACAAGAAGCAATGGATGGAAACTGACCAAGGAGAGAAGCAACCTGGAATTAAGGAGAAACTTCCTGACAATGAAGACAATTAACCCGTGGAACGGCTTGCCACCAGAAGTTGTGGGTGCTCCATTGCTGGAGGTTTTCAAGAGGAGAATGGACAGCCGTTTGTCTGGAATGGTAAAGGGTCTCCTACTTGAGCAGGGGGCTAGACTAGAAGACCTCCGAGGTCTCTTCCAACCTTGTTATTCTATGTTTGGAATAACCCGGTTATTCTACGGTTGCAGGAATTGGGGATGGCCAGTCTACAGAAAAGAAGGACTGGGGGGGGGGGACATGATAGCAGTATTCCAGTATTTGAGGGGCTGCCACAAAGAAGGGGGGTTCAAGCTATTTTCCAAACCACCAGAAGGCAGGACAAGAAGCAACGGATGGAAACTAATCAAGGAGAGAAGCAACCTGGAATTAAGGAGAAACTTCCTGACAGTGAGGACAATTCACCAGTGGAACAGCTTGCCACTAGAAGTTGTGGGTGCTTCATCATTGGAGGTTTTTAAGAAGAGACTGGACATCCACTTCTGAAATGGTGTGTAGGTTCTTCTGCTTGAGCAGGGGGCTGGACTAGAAGTCCTCCCAAGGTCCCTTCCAGCTCTATTCTATAGAGAGGGATTGTCGCAGCGAAGCAAAGAATTGCTAAAAGAAATTTCCGCTTCTGACTTCATTGCTCGGCTCTTGGGGCTGAGCCAGCCTCTGGAGAAGGAACTGGAGAGATGCAGTGGATGTTATGGCCTTATTGCACTGATGGTGTTATCTAGCTTGGTTAATGAAACGTCTGCAAGAAAACCACCAAGTTCAGAGAGCACCAAGAAGCCCTCATTTCAACCCTGAGCTGCAAATATTCTCCTCTCTCAGTCAGTTGGTCTTCTCTGACCAGATGCCCTTTTATCTTTGCAAGGGTTCAACATTTGGAACTCTGCCCCCAAATCTTTTCATTTTGCATCTTGGATTCTAAACGTCCGTCCCCAAGGTATTTTTTTTTGCAAAAGGCAACTAGACTTTCTTGTTTTGTTTTCCCCTTGTTTCTCATCCAAGAAGCAGACCTGAAGAAGCTTCTGGGATGAGAGTTGAAATGTTTTTTCCAAGGACAAAACCCACGAAAGGCCAGTTGCCTTTTGCAAAAGCACCTTTGGGACAACCATGATCTGAATGACTGAGAATCTCCGTAGACACCGAAATGCATCTTCACATTCTAAGAAACAGAAAACAGATTCATAGGAGGAGGAGGAGGAGGAGGCTCTAATTGATTCAACCATGATTTAATTGGCACTTTCTATCAGGAAAGTCGGGGGGGGGGGACCCTCAGCCCTAAAAAGGGAATGAAAATAAGAGAAAGCAAAACTATGATCATGTTTATAATAATCGCGAGAGAGCATCGATGGCTATCACATGGATTAAAAAGCCATTCACAAGACCGGGTTAAAGATGGGTTTTAGATACCCTAGAGAGGGTTAAACATGTGCTGAAGCCCACCAAAATGGTTTGGACCCTGCTTTTTAGTCAAAAGAGACATTGTTGAACTTCCCACGTCAAACACTGAAAGCGGCTATCTTCATATAAAAAGTGGGAGGAGCTTTGCAATGTGCTGGCCACCATCTTGACTTTTTTGACTGGAACCCTCCCCAAAGTGGAGAAGAATGCTGTGCTAGATCCGAGCAGCACCAGACTCCCATTTCAACCCTCGGAAAGAGAAGATCTCTCGATCCCTTCCTTGTATCAATACATTGGAATGACCAAATATTGAATTTTTTGAAGAAAAAAAAAAAGCACAACCTGTGCGCATTGGAACACATTGAATGAAAAAGCTGGACCTTCTTGGATGTAGCCACAGAAACAAAAAAAGAAAAAAAACCCAAACTCTGCAATACTAGTAGGATCTGTCTGTGCTTTAATATTACCTTTCTTTATAATGGGTATAATGGTTTTCTAAAGTAAAGATGACAGCAGCTTAAAACTATTGTTCCCCAGTCTCTCCACTGATCCTCCCACCCTGTTAACCAGATTTATTATTTATCAAACTCTTCACTACAGGGAGTCCTCGACTTACAACAGTTCATTTAGTGACCGTTCAAAGTTACAATAGCACTGAGAAAAGGGACTTAGGACCATTTTTCATAGTTGCAACTTTTGTAGCATCCCCATTGGTCACATGATCAAAATTTGGAGGCTTGGCAACTGACTCGTACTTATGACTGTTGCTGTGTCCCAAGGTCACATGCAACTTTTGACATGCAAAGTCAATGGGGAAGCCAGATTCACTTAACGACCATGTGAATAAATTATCAACTGCAATGATTCACTTAACAACTGTTAAGTGGCAAGCAAGGTCGTAAAATGGGACAAAACTCACTTAACGAACGTCTCCCTTAAGTGGTAGTGGGGGAGGGGAATGAGCTGAACTGGTGGCAGCACCACACAAGCCTGAGCGAGAGATGGCTGGAGCTGCAGGGCTGTCAGGGCTGAGTGGAAGCGCCAGGATCAGCACTTCTTCGGGACTGTCAGGGCTCAGTGGAAGCACCAGGATCAGTGCCAGGCTCCAGCCGGAGCTCGGCGCTGATCCTGGCGCTTCTGCTGAGCCCAGAAGAAGCGCCGATCAGCTGGAATGTTGCAGCATCTCCAGGGTCTTGTGATTTACATTCAGATGCTTGGCAACTGATTCATATTTATGACGGTCACAGTGTCCCAGGGTCATGTGAAGTGACCAAAACCTGCTGCAACCACCCAGCAGACGGGGGGGGGGAATAAAAACCAAAGACCCCCCACCCCACCCCCGCTGCCAATCCTCAACATAAATGCTCACAACAATGAAAACCTCGGACAGGAGGAAGAGTGTCGCCGGGTGGGCAGGCAGGTGTCTTGCTCAGCTGTGGCTTGGGGGGCACTTTTTTCAGTGCCATTGAAACTTCGAACAGTCATTAAGGGAACTGTTGTAAGTCGAGGACTACCTGTACTTTATCACTTTTTTCCTTTTTTTTTTTTGGTCATCAAGTTTTTGACACTTTGCTAGGCGACTGGTGGTCCTCGGATGTTGCCATATCCTAAAAGTGGTACAATGGGTGAAAAGGTTGAAAAGCCCTGGTTTAGAAGGTCCATAATGAACTCTAAATTGGACATAAAACATAGACTCAAAGGGCTAGAAGGGACCTCAAAGGCCTTCTAGTCCAACCCCCTGCTCAAGGCAGCAGACCTCAAGTAGACAAAATATATAAGTGTATAAGTATATAAGTAGGTGAGAATATACAGTAATTCTTGGAGTTTTCAATGTGCCCTGATGGTTCAGTTGATCCAGTTTTGCCAACTGCTCTTTTCTCCATACCCCAAAAGGTTTCCCATAGCAGCTAACATACAACCATGGTGAGGGAAGTCAGAGCCCCAGAGAAGGAAATATTAAAAGGGCAGAAAAATATATTTCCTCAAAAGGATTTTGAAAAGCAGAAACCAACCCTGCCCCCAAATCTCTCTGTCCCAAGCAGGACCCAGCCCTATACAAATGCAAATGTAAAACCATCAGAAAGTCGTAGCCAGAAAACTCAAGAAGACAAAAGACCTAAAATCTGCACACCCCACCCAAACTCTTAAGAGTCATTAGCCCAGCCCCAGGGAAGCAGGCTATGACTTTGGGGACATAATAGGATTAAACCAGATACCAAGGCCTAGAAAAACACACTCAGACTCAGTTCAAAATTCATGCCCCAGGAACAGGAAACTATTCCGAACAAAAGGCTTTCAGAGGGTATAAAAACCTACTCCCCACATGTGCTCAGCCCTTGATTTCTCTCCTCCTTCCTGCCAGAACCGTCTTTCAGTCTGGCTCGTCAATAAACTGTAACCTTCTTCCCAAAGCAGTCGCCGTGTTGTTTATTTATCCCCGGCTTG